GGCTTTTGTTTCTTCTCGTCGGAGTTAAGTCGCCGGAAGTTTTACAATGAAACTTTGGACTAGCGAGAAGAGACGACGGAGACTGACAACGAAGTGTAGAGGTTACTGAATCGGGTCGGGTTTCGGATCTAGGAGTAGACGGGTTAGAGAAAAACCCAAATCTTGAAGTGGGTTTTTGCAAATCAGGCGAAGAAGAATCATCGTTAACTTTCTTTTTATGACTTGAAGTCCAAAACGTTTTCTTCAAACCGTTCATCATCTTCAAGACTTCAACTTTCGTAGTGACTTGAGAATATTTTGTTGAGAGGAAAAGGAGAAATGTTTTTTAGGTTTTGATGTAAAAACAATGAAGACACTTGAGACAGAGAGATTGGAATACATAGATAAAGAACAGGAGAAAATGGTGGGGTTGATGAATTTTTTTGTTTTTAAAAAAGTGGCCTCTTTTAAGAATAGTGAAGAAGATGGATTATTGGGATTATCAAGATTTTTTTTTGGAAAATATATAATTAAAAAAAAAAAACAGAATTACCTCTAAAAAGCTGTAAATTGTGTTTTAGAAGTTACTGCTTGGCATTGGTATTTTTGGCTAGAGGAGTAGATAAAAAGAATGACCCTACAAGTCTACGAGTGTAATTCACGAATCATTGGCTTTGTTTTACTATTGTCTTTTTTTCTTTTTGAAAATAAATTTTAGTATTGTCACTACGATATATAAATATGGTCCAAGTGTTATAGAACCACTATTCTAAAACTCGGCCGATTTGCAGTTAAATCGTTCATTAGAATTGAGCCATGGCTACTTTTGAATAGTTTGGGTAAGCAAATTGTTTTCCATTATTCGGCCTGGTGCATGGTTAAAATTGGCGAACATCGTTGAAAAAAATATTAATGTTGATTGGAGTCCAAATCGCTATTTTTTACTTTCAGAGCAAAAAATGGCTGAAGAGATAATTTTACTTATTATAAGTAGAAACTTTTCTTTATATATTTTACAGCTAGTGAGTAAATATGGTTGGAATTAAATGTGATCAGTAAAAGATAATAAAGCATAGTAAATGAATAAATGTGAATGAGAAGATGATCTTTATTCATAGAGATGCCTAAACCGTAGCAGCCTATTACTTAATTCTGTTGTAGTGAGTCGGTCCATTTTTATCTTTGTGTTTCTCATTTTTTTTGTTTTAATTGCCTTTTATGATTTTATCACTTTTTCCATATCTTCTTAGACATGGTTTATGTAACGACTGTGAACAAAAATGTGATTTTTGGGCTGTGCATTGATCGATGTAGTGTGTGTCGATTGATGCAGTGTTTCGACTTGTGAGAAGTCGCGATTTTGGATGTT